CAAAATATCGTACCTGGCCAATCTTAGTGGGACACCCTGTATATTGATAAAATGGAGATAAAACACAGATATTGATTCGACATGAAATAACTAAATGATGGAATTAATAGATATATTGATTCGACATGAAGTGAAAAAAAAATTGGAACCATAGTAAATATGATAGTAATAATAATCATAGATATATTGAGAATCTGTCTATAATAATAATTGATTTTCCTGGCTCACCACACGAAACGTCCAAACATGAATATTCTGATCCACGATCGGGTGCTGGTGTTGATCGGAGATTCCACACTATCTTGACCTCGATGTTGAATAGGTTTATTTTGGGATGGATTTGTTGTGACATCTATTCACATTGGATTCGAACGAATCCTACAACATACATCTCACAGTTAGGTCGATGGCATCGAAAGTTTGATAAATTTTATCGAACCAACAATGACAAATTGAACAAGGAAATATCTTTTCATCTACAACTATGGAGTCATTTATAAATTTCTAATGACAGTAGGATGACGTAATAATCTGACATCCCATCGTCTTGTCAAATTCAACTAGGTAGGTATTCGTTCTTCTAGTTCTACTATAGCACATCACTATACTACTGTTTGTGAAATACACGCAAGTTCAAAAGACTCACCTTACTTGGTTCTCATAGTTTTAATCACCTTAATTCTACAAATACACGGAAAAATGAGAATTCACTGTTTTTCATTCTCAACAGTGACTACCATCATGAGTAATCATAACCATAAAATAGGACTTGACACTTGACAGTTGCAGATGGGCTCACACTTATGTGCGGGCTATTGGAATAGATCAGTACAGACCAATCAGAACCATGAAACTTCATTGTTGATAACTAGCGTCTAGAGACAGAGTACTACAATTAACCTTCATTTTACAACTGAGAAGTGAAATGGCATATAATATCTGGTAAGATTGACTGATATGTGATTCCACGAATTTTTTCCTGTTAATAAAAGTTAGATCCAACATTGTTTATCATCTTTTCACAATCAAAATTATTGAAATAAGTTATAAGCTGTTCGTTGATTGAAATTTCTGTCCAGTTTTCGATAAAATTAATGGGTATTTCAAATCATATCTAGTGATTTTGCAATATAATAACCTTCATTATTTCCAAAGATATATTTCTGAACTCACAGAGTTGCTTTGAAATTTGAATAGTTGTAGATGAAGTATGGTATTCTTTTCCCACTCAGATGATTACAGCACTTGCCTTCGGCTCGTACTGCAACTTTCATCTTCGTGGGTAATACCCATCAATATGGGCTCTTTGAATAATATACTACATATTAATGTATGAATAATCATTTGTTCATTACTATGTACTCACCCCATTTTAATCTAATAATGATATGACACCGAATACACTATGAATAAAAATCGAAGTTTATTGTTAATTCACCAGAAGCAGGGGTTAGTGTGAAGTCATCCACGAAAATGCCAGCCACGTTTTCTGACGTGTAGGAAATCGAATGCGATATGGAATTGAAAATGTGTGGCCCCGTACTGGGGACAAGGTGCATATAATTTATATGATTTGATACATTCTCGCCTGTATCTCATCTGAAACTTTGTGGCGTAACTTCACAAAAAGAAATTGAAGCCTCAATGCACGGTGGCCTTTATATTCGTAGAGCGGTCGTGGGATTTTGAAAAAATTAGTTTCTATTTGTTTTTCTACAAGATGTTATCTGTAAAGCAAACTATGGGCGCCACTCAGAGTTAACTGAGAAGAATTAGGATAGGACAGAACAAAAATAGCAAACTATACCTTTTGAAAACCATGCATATAAATACCTAAATGATGTTGTTAGAAGTGCTTACACGCAGTGTGTAATAAGTCAATGTTTACTACAATTAATGTTAATATAATGACTAATTGTAATGATTGAATTGAAATTCAATAGATTACTTAAAGTTACAATGTTAGTGAAATTTTATCAATGAATAGGGGAGTATTTCAACTATATTCTAGGCCAAAAGATGTAATGTTAGTGAAATTAAATCTATGACATCCTCACTATGGCTAGCAAGTGATAATAATGAGTCACCAGGTGACTGAGAATAATAAATGTAAACAAAATACCTAGGTTTCCTACGAAAGGAAATAGCAGCTGTTATTTCGTTTCTCACAAATAGGAGAACACTTATTACAAGGAAAACAAAGTAAGACACTAGTGAAGATCTATGTCTTCAACTCCTCAATGGCAATCAAAAATTACATCACAAGTAGTACTCACTGAGGGTCATCAATTATTATACTCTTACTCAAAATTAACCATTAATTGTATGGGTGGCTTCCTCATACTCCATAAATTGCATCAGCAAATGGTATCCATTTCATTCGTATACATGGTATCCAAACATAAACAAAACAGGCAACAAACTCCAACAGCTGACGAACACTTGTTATTGCCCCATTAGCAATAATATGGGTCGAAATTTGGGAGTCATCGAACCATAAATCCCAATAGTGAAATATAATTCACATTATTTTCATTTTAACCAAAACATCCAACATCAGGTTAGGTTATTTAAATTACCGCCATGACGACGTGTCATGTGCGCAGGTGCATATTGCACATGTAAAGTTAGAAAAATGGCTTCAGTGGAAATCAAAAAGGCCTATAGGTTTTAATCGGCCAATTTCCAATATAATTGGCATTTCGAAAGAATGTGAAAATTAACTTGTTGCTCTGCCAAGCGCCAGTCGAGAGAGCACGATCTCCGTCAATCTTGCTCGAATTTCGGCGGGGTCAACATTACACCGTCGCACTTAGACACGGAACACTAAGAAATCAGAGCGCTGGGTCTAATTGAGTGCTGTGTGAATTGGCCTTATCTAGTGACTTTGTATTTAACGTGACATCGATTGTCCACACTGTTTCAATAATACAGGTGAGGCAATCATATAGAAGTGAATTCTCTATGTTGATATTTTAATTGTTATAAATAGAAGAATAAGATAAACACATCCACAAGTGAAACTCTTAGCAGGGAAGCATATCAGCATCTTCACGTATGACTCGATCACAATCACAGGAAGAAGACGAAAGTTATATACAGGTTGTCCTGACAAATTAATGTTGAAATATTATTTCTCTGTTGAAAATACGATGCATACTGAGTGTTACTCCGAACTGATTGCACTAAAAAAAAAATGAATAGTAGAAGGGTCACTTAAGTTTATGAAAGGTTCAAGTGGACCGTTACACATCCCCTCTCCTCACAAAAAAATATTGAACGCAGTGAAAATATTTTTGGAAAATTCATCTACCGGTTGCTAGGTTGAGAAGTAATATCTCAGGATTGTGCGGCTGGTAGAATCACATCTAACACAACCTTAGACCATTAAAGGTGTAATTAAACTGGTAAACCAGTCAATCACCAGACCAGCTCATCTGTCGTTGCTGACCGACTCGCTTATCCTTGGTTTGAATGTCCGACATTCACGATAAGAAAAGTTTCCTGAATACATACGGTATCGGAATCAGATTTAAGCAATCCTAGGTGACGGTGATTCAAAAGCACACTTCAGCATAATTTTATCTGGATAAGACCATTAGCTCAAAAAATTAACAATATACCTTGATACTGATATATTGTAGAGACAATCTGAAACAAAAAACTACTGATGGAATTCACGCTGTTACTAAAAGACTAGACGTTGAATAAGATTCATACAATACATTCATTCTACATTCGTTGCCACATTCATTCGATACACACACACACTAATTCCGTCTATTCACCATCAGGTGGTGATTCCGGGCCAAAATAAGGCTTCAAGTCCTTCACATGGAAGTTGCCTAAGTTTTTTCCATCTGAATCTTTCAGTTCATAAACTAATTTTGAAGTAACTCTACTGACAGTACAAAGAAGAAATTTTGGAGCTAGTTCTGGGGCGAAGTTCTCACTTTTATTTGAAAGAACAAAATTTCTTTTCTAGACACGATCACCTATGTGATAAACATCACTGGGTCTTTTACGCAAGTTGTAAGTTCTGGAATTTTTTGAATAAGCTTCAGCTAGCTTTCGTCGAACATCGATGTATAATTGAGGAAGTTTTTCAATCTCATCACCATAATTTACACGATTGATATCATTCAGATCAAAGTCTTTCAAAGATTCAATTTTCCCAAAGTAATTTCTTCTTGCCGGAACATATCTACCAAAATTACAAGTGGTTGGACTGACACTAGTTGCCTCATGAACAGCTGTCCTTAATGCGAAACCTATTTTGTGAATTTCCTTATCCCAATCACGATGATCATTATCTTGTATATAAGATCTAATAGCAGTCTCAAGTACCCTATTGACACGTCCAACAGCATTAACTTGTGCATGATACCGCGCATTATAATAAATTTTAATATCATAACTATCCGCAAGTTGCTTAAAAATTTTGCTTGTGAACTGTACACCGTTATCGCAAGCTAAAACTTGTGGAGCTCCGTAAATTGAAATTACTTGTTCCTCAATGAATTTGACAATTTGAGGCGTTGTTGCCTGACGAAAGGGATGAACTAGACAAAATTTTTAAAAGTAGTCAGATACTGAAAGAACGTAAGAATATCCGTTTCTAGAACGAGGTAAAGGTCCGAGCAAATCTACTGACACATACTGCCATGGAAAGTTGACTTTCTTGGGCTGTCCCATAAATCCTGGGCGAGCAGAAGAGCTTACCTTTTGTTCGCTACATACGTGACAATGTCTCACATATTTTCTTACATCCTGTAACATGCGAGGCCAAAAATATAAGTCACGGATTCTATTAACCGTTTTATAGACACCAAGGTGCGCGGCTTGAGCATCATCATGGCATTTCTTGAAAACTAACAGCCTTTGCTGCTTAGGAACAACTAATTGATTTGACACACATTGACGGGTAAAGTAATATTGAATCGTTAACAGTTGTGGGAAAGTAGTGAGCAGTTAGTTGGATCTGTGATCTTCCATTTCAGGAAAGTGCTAAATCTGGTCTTTCAGATTGCTTCATCAAGCTATCTGTTAGCACAGTCTATTTGTCAATCATTAGCAGGGAATTGGAAAAGACTCTTAACAAGGCAGCTCGCCTTAGGATTCAAACATCGTCTCCGAGGAGTCCTTTGCCAGCCAGATCAAGGATGGCGGAGATGTGGGCAGAGATCTTTACGTATCTCAAAGAAGATGCTGTCCTTTTAGAGTGGCTCAGCTCAGAGGATGAGGCAAGGACCCTCCACACAGTCAACATTGCTAAGGCAAGAGAGTGGCAGGCTGCCCTGGCTTATCAAGGGTTCGATGTTAAGAGGGTGCTTAGAAATCTAAGAGCCAACTACAATACATACATGCAAGACACCCCTGGTGCGTCCACTAAGTATGAAGTGCCAGTCAAGGATGCTGATGGAGACAGAATAGTAACTTACACCAATAAGGAGCTTTTGGCATCAGACATCCAATTCCTTGTAACCGTATTTGCAGTGAGAGGGTGCAAATGGGAAAAAGTGATCAACAAATCAGAGGCAGGGTTGATTGGGATTCTAGACATGCTAAAAGGGAAACTAGGACTGACCGTTGATTCTAATGCTGCTGGAGTTGCTCTGCCTCCAGACACAATCACCATTGCTAGAATTACTGCTTGTTTCCCTATCACCATATGCAAATTGTTCCATGAGGGAATAGGAAAACTGTTAGTCTCTCATGAGCAAGTTGGACTGGATGAAGGCATCTCCAAAGCTGTCTTGTGCCCGTACTTCTCGTCGTGTATCCCCAAGGAGTGGGTTGATGTTGAAAAGAATGTTAATCTCTTCTTTTTCTTGGTCCATGTTGTAGTTGATGATCTCATTCACAGGGGGACTAAGAATTGCACCTGCCTTGATGATATGTTCAACTACTACCGTGCGTCTTATGACTCTGTGGCTATGCCCCCAGGCCCTAGGAAGAAGTTCTGTTCTGTTTATCTGAGGTCATTGCTGAGCTAAAGAGCCTGAAAGCTTGAACCAATACCCATATCCCTGTGGAGATAGTGCATATAAATTCCTACTGTCAATAGTGATGACATAACCCCTTGTGTAATATTAATACTTTCCCCTGAGTCTATAGAGAAGACTTGAAACCCTTTGTAAATAAACCCTGAGCTAATCTCATCATAGCCATGCTCTAATGAGATAGCAACTTGTACATAGCCGGACTAGATCCGGCACATTGCTTGATTGGTTCTGCATTACCAGTATCAATTTTATGAACAATCTTGTCTGTTCTGCCCAATTTTGAAGATGATAAAATTTGAAATTTATTTATTACTTTCTCTAACTGTAATAACTGATTACTTTGTAATTCTGACTTAGATTGAATACGATTTATTACATTTATCTCACCAATATTCGGATTTTCTACTGTAAGTCGATTCTGACCAATATAACAAGAATTACTATTGAAATCGAGAGTAACATTGAAGTTTCTACAGAAGTCTGACCCTAATATGAAGCTATGTGAAACAGAAGGTACAACCAAGATTTTCAGAAGTTTCACTGTATAATCAATTTCAATTGGCAAGTTGACATAACCTGAAATTGTTTGAGCAGCTCCATCAGCTGTATTAATACTTGAGTCAGCACAATCTAGAATTTGTAAACCAAAAACTTCCAACAAGTCCATACCAGGTCCTCCTATGACGCTATGGCTTGCCCCACTATCTACTAAACAAATAATCCGTTTGCCAAAAATATGTACAGCAACATAAGGTCTGTCATCATTTGCTTTATTTACAAAAACCGTATTTGTCTCTCTCAATTTCGAAGAATTACTATTTACAACTTTAGTTATGTACATTTGTCTAACAACATTCAACCATGATTTCCATTCATTGCTAGAAGGTGATTCTATTTTAGAAGCAACAAAAATTCTATTAGGATATGATCTGACATTTAATTGTGGAGTTTCAATACTACAACAATAGTAGGCCATTGAAGAATCATTGGGTGAGCACCGGCCTATCTTGCGCTTCCCCTTTGATCGTTTTTTGAACACAACGGACAATTAGGACGTATGACACCAGGCTTACCGCAACCAAACCAATAGGGTGCCTTGCGCCGATTATTCTCTCTGAAATTACGATTATCCGGCTGAACATTATTTTCCTGCATAACAGCAACCTGTCTATTAGTATTATTACTTGAAAATTTTCTCTGAGAATTATAATTGTTAGAATTTCTATGTCCATAACTTCTACTATTACCACGGTGATTATTATTAGAATATCTCTCATTCCTAATCTGAATACTAGAATCAACATTTGAGCAGGTACTTGGATTATTATCAATATTACTAGAATTGCAACAACATTGATGACCAGAATTTCCTGAGGAATAATAAGCTGAACCTGGTTCAAGTGTAGAAATATTTCGTTTAGGTGGAGGTTGATATCTGGCTTGAACTACGTTTGCATCCTCTAAAGCTCTACATATTTCCAAAAGTTGACTTATGTTGTCGATGGACTGCAATGCCAAGTGTGACTGATAACGAGGTAAAATATTCTTCCCGATGATTTTCAATTTTTCTTTCTCAGGTGGGACATCTATCAAGCAACTAAACAAATTCTCCATCAGAGATAAATAAACTACAATCCGTTCATCATGACCTTGAGTTCTATGGCGAATTTCTTCCCAAAGTTGATCATCATAATCTGATGGCAAAAAGTCTCTCTTAAGGGCGTCTACTAATGAATCCCGAGAGTTAAAACGATTTTGTCGAGACTGAGATCTGAACCATTCTCGCGCAATACCATCAAATAAATCTGAAGATGATTGAAAAAAATCTTCTCTTCTCACGATGTAAAAATGACCTAAGGGAACCATTCCTAAGAGTCTCATCAAAAGTAATACCCCATTTGTAAACTGGTACTGATCTACTAGCAACAGTGTTAACTGACAGTGCTTGAACCGAGTTGGGTTGGTTTACTATTTGTCCTTTCAAATATTGATCCCGAATTTCAGTTAAATCTTCCTCAAGAGTACTAACTAAGATAATATTATCTCCCCGAAAATTTACAACTTCAGCATGACTTGAATCCTTAGGTATCCTACATAATCGACCTAGTACATGATTAATTCGACTCTCCACCCGCTTGAAAATTTCTTCATTGATACCATCAAAATTGTTGACTAATTCAGCAATAGATTCTATACTTTCTGAAATTTCTGAACTTTCATCTTGGAAATCAAAATCTGGTGTCACATACTGGACATCAGGTCTAGCTAAATCTTGTCTCAACTCTCTGCCCTGTCTACCGCAACACCCCGTATACGTAATTCGTAATTTAATTCTCTAGTCCTCAGATGATTTGGATCTATATTGTGATCAGCCTTCATCGTGAAGTTGAAAAATCTCTTCGAAATTTACAAAAATGTGCTGTCAAATCAGTCACCCAGGAGAACACCCTGTATGTAATCCAAGAGAAAAGGTACTAAATCTTGAAAGAGAATTTAGCAAAACTCAATGAAAAGGTATAACTGACAACACAGTAAATTAATCAATGCAGCTCACTTCGGAATACAACTCAGAATCACCCTGTACAATCAACACAGGAATTCTCAATAAATCACTTACCAAAAATTCATGAATTCAAGTACTTACTCAAAATACAAACTTCCTCATGTAAATGGATTATCAACCAGCATAAATTATTTGGTTCACCCTGTATATATACTCACCAGTGACCAGAAAGTATTGCTCTCAAAAGATTATGCAAAAATGTTGAGGAATAAATATATATATATTTTCAGTAATCTGAAATTATATCCAACTACGTTCACCCTGTATGAATGAAATCGAATCAGACGTGAAAAAACCTGAAAACCTTGAATGGAATTCAATAAAGGAACTGCTGCTGTTTTTGTTTGGAAGGCGTTTGCAAATTAAAAGTAAATCTTTGCAAATAATATTATGCAGTAAACAAAAGGTTTGATTTTTGTTTTGTCCTAGGAATTTGGGAAGGTGAAGGTTGTTTGCTTTTGCCTGGGCTTTGAAAAACTCAATAGTATGAACAATTAATGCATAGTTGACATTTGCAAATTCAAAAATAGGCCCCACACATTATGGCGCCAATTTTATGTGGCGTAACTTCACAAAAAGAAATTAAAGCCTCAATGCACGGTGGCCTTTATAGTCGTAGAGCGGTCGTGGGATTTTTAAAAAATTATTTTCTATTTGTTTTTCTACAAGATGTTATCTGTAAAGCAAACTATGGGCGCCACTCAGAGTTAACTGAGAAGAATTAGGATAGGACAGAACAAAAATAGCAAACTATACCTTTTGAAAACCATGCATATAATTACCTAAATGATGTTGTTAAGTGCTTACACGCAGTGTGTAATAAGTCAATGTTTACTACAATTAATGTTAATATAATGACTAATTGTAATGATTAAATTGAAATTCAATAGATTACTTAAAGTTACAATGTTAGTGGAATTTTATCAATGAATAGGGGAGTATTTCAACTGTATTCTAGGCAATGCCAAAAGATGTAATGTTAGTGAAATTAAATCTATGACAGCCTCACTGTGGCAAGCAAGTGATAATAATAAGTCACCAGGTGACTGAGAATAATAAATGTAAACAAAATACCTAGGTTTCCTACGAAAGGAAATAGCAGCTGTTATTTCGTTTCTCACAAATAGAAGAACACTTATTACAAGGAAAACAAAGTAAGACACTAGTGAAGATCTATGTCTCCAACTCCTCAATGGCAATCAAAAATTACATCACAAGTAGTACTCACTGAGGGTCATCAATTATTATACTCTTACTCAAAATTAACCATTAATTGTATGGGTGGCTTCCTCATACTCCATAAATTGCATCAGCAAATGGTATCCATTTCATTCATATACATGGTATCCAAACATAAACAAAACAGGCAACAAGCTCCAACAGCTGACGAACACTTGTTATTGCCCCATTAGCAATAATATTGGTCGAAATTTGGGAGGCATCGAACCATAAATCCCAATAGTGAAATATAATTCACATTATTTTCATTTTAACCAAAACATCCAACATCAGGTTAGGTTATTTAAATTACCGCCATGACGACGTGTCATGTGCGCAGGTGCATATTGCACATGTAAAGTTAGAAAAATGGCTTCAGTGGAAATCAAAAAGGCCTATAGGTTTTAATCGGCCAATTTCCAATATAATTGGCATTTCGAAAGAATGTGAAAATTTACTTGTTGCTCTGCCAAGCGCCAGTCGAGAGAGCACGATCTCCGTCAATCTTGCTCGAATTTCAGCGGGGTCAAGATTACACCGTCGCACTTAGACACGGAACACTAAGAAATCAGAGCGCTGGGTCTAATTGAGTGCTGTGTGAATTGGCCTTATCTAGTGACTTTGTATTTAACGTGACATCGATTGTCCACACTGTTTCAATAACACAGGTGAGGCAATCATATAGAAGTGAATTCTCTATGTTGATATTTTAATTGTTATAAATAGAAGAAGAAGTCTTGAGTTTGTAGACAAAAATAAGAATAAGATAAACACATCCACAAGTGAAACTCTTAGCAGGGAAGCATATCAGCATCTTCACGTATGACTCGATCACAATCACAGGAAGAAGACGAAAGTTATATACAGGTTGTCCTGACAAATTAATGTTGAAATATTGTTTCTCTGTTGAAAATACGATGCATACTGAGTGTTACTCCGAACTGATTGCACTAAAAAAAAATGAATAGTAGAAGGGTCACTTAAGTTTATGAAAGGTTCAAGTGGACCGTAACACATCCCCTCTCCTCACAAAAAAATATTGAACGCAGTGAAAATATTTTTGGAAAATTCATCTACCGGTTGCTAGGTTGAGAAGTAATATCTCAGGATTGTGCGGCTGGTAGAATCACATCTAACACAACCTTAGACCATTAAAGGTGTAATTAAACTGGTAAACCAGTCAATCACCAGACCAGCTCATCTGTCGTTGCTGACCGACTCGCTTATCCTTGGTTTGAATGTCCGACATTCACGATAAGAAAAGTTTCCTGAATACATACGGTATCGGAATCAGATTTAAGCAATCCTAGGTGACGGTGATTCAAAAGCACACTTCAGCATAATTTTATCTGGATAAGACCATTAGCTCAAAAAATTAACAATATACCTTGATACTGATATATTGTAGAGACAATCTGAAACAAAAAACTACTGATGGAATTCACGCTGTTACTAAAAGACTAGACGTTGAATAAGATTCATACAATACATTCATTCTACATTCGTTGCCACATTCATTCGATACACACACACACTAATTCCGTCTATTCACCATCAGGTGGTGATTCCGGGCCAAAATAAGGCTTCAAGTTCTTCACATGGAACTTGCCTAAGTTTTTTCCATCTGAATCTATCAGTTCATAAACTAATTTTGAAATAACTCTACTGACAGTACAAAGAAGAAATTTTGGAGCTAGTTTTGAGGCGAAGTTCTCACTTTTAATTGAAAGAACAAAATTTCTTTTCCAGACACGATCACCTATGTGATAAACATCACTGGGTCTTTTACGCAAGTTGTAAGTTCTGGAATTTTTTGAATAAGCTTCAGCTAGCTTCCGTCGAACATCGATGTATAATTGAGGAAGTTTTTCAATCTCATCACCATAATTTACACGATTGATATCATTCAGATCAAAGTCTTTCAAAGATTCAATTTTCCCAAAGTAATTTCCTTCTGCCGGAACATATCTACCAAAATTTAAAGTGGTTGGACTGACACTAGTTGCCTCATGAACAGCTGTCCTTAATGCGAAACCTATTTTGTGAATTTCCTTATCCCAATCACGATGATCATTATCTTTTATATAAGATCTAATAGCAGTCTCAAGTACCCTATTGACACGTCCAACAGCATTAACTTGTGCATGATACCGCGCATTATAATAAATTTTAATATCATAACTATCCGCAAGTTGCTTAAAAATTTTGCTTGTGAACTGTACACCGTTATCGCAAGCTAAAACTTGTGGAGCTCCGTAAATTAAAATTACTTGTTCCTCAATGAATTTGACAATTTGAGGCGTTGTTGCCTGACGCAAGGGATGAACTAGACAAAATTTTTAAAAGTAGTCAGATACTAAAAGAACGTAAGAATATCCGTTTCTAGAACGAGGTAAAGGTCCGAGCAAATCTACTGACACATACTGCCATGGAAAGTTGACTTTCTTGGGCTGTCCCATAAATCCTGGGCGAGCAGAAGAGCTTACCTTTTGTTCGCTACATACGTGACAATGTCTCACATATTTTCTTACATCCTGTAACATGCGAGGCCAAAAATATAATTCACGGATTCTATTAACCCTTTTATAGACACCAAGGTGCGCGGCTTGAGCATCATCATGGCATTTCTTGAAAACTAACAGCCTTTGCTGCTTAGGAACAACTAATTGATTTGACACACATTGACGGGTAAAGTAATATTGAATCGTTAACAGTTGTGGAAAAGTAGTGAGCAGTTAGTTGGATCTGTGATCTTCCATTTCAGGAAAGTGCTAAATCTGGTCTCTCAGATTGCTTTGTTAAGCTCTCTGTTAGCACAGTCTATTTGTCAATCATTAGCAGGGAATTGGAAAAGACTCTTAATGAGGCAGCTCGCCTGAGGATTCAAACATCGTCTCCGAGGAGTCCTTTGCCAGCCAGATCAAGGATGGCGGAGATGTGGGCAGAGATCTTTACGTATCTCAAAGAAGATGCTGTCCTTTTAGAGTGGCTCAGCTCAGAGGATGAGGCAAGGACCCTCCACACAGTCAACATTGCTAAGGCAAGAGAGTGGCAGGCTGCCCTGGCTTATCAAGGGTTCGATGTTAAGAGGGTGCTTAGAAATCTAAGAGCCAACTACAATACATACATGCAAGACACCCCTGGTGCGGCCACTAAGTATGAAGTGCCAGTCAAGGATGCTGATGGAGACAGAATGGTAACTTACACCAATAAGGAGCTTTTGGCATCAGACATCCAATTCCTTGTAACCGTATTTGCAGTGAGAGGGTGCAAATGGGAAGAAGTGATCAACAAATCAGAGGCATGGTTGATTGGGATTCTAGACATGCTGAAAGGGAAACTAGGACTGACCGTTGATTCTAATGCTGCTGGGGTTGCTCTGCCTCCAGACACAATCACCATTGCTAGAATTTCTGCTTGTTTCCCTATCACCATATGCAAATTGTTCCATGAGGGAATAGGAAAACTGTTAGTCTCTCATGAGCAAGTTGGACTGGATGAAGGCATCTCTAAAGCTGTCCTGTGCCCATACTTCTCTTCTTGCATCCCCAAGGAGTGGGTTGATGTTGAGAGGAACGTTAATCTCTTCTTTCTCTTGGTCCATGTTGTAGTTGATGATCACATTCACAGGGGGACTAAGAATTACACCTGCCTTGATGATATGTTTAACTACTACCGTGCGTCTTATGACTCAGTGGCTATGCCCCCAGGCCCTAGGAAGAAGTTCTGTTTACATAAGAGTTGCAACTGCCCATTCCATAGGGTTTTGCAACGAAATCCTCCATGCTGCTTCCGAAGCCGAGGCGAGGATTAGGTCTCGTCGGCCAGATGATCCCAACTTGTCCAAGGTCATTGCTGAGCTAAAGAGCCTGAAAGCTTGAACCAATACCCATATCCCTGTGGAGATAGTGCATATAAACTCCTACTGTCAATAGTGATGACATAACCCCTTGTGTAATTAATACTTTCCCCTGAGTCTATAGAGAAGACTTGAAACCCTTTGTAAATAAACCTTGAGCTAATCTCATCATAGCCATGCTCTAATGAGATAGCAACTTGTACATAGCCGGACTAGATCCGGCACATTGCTTGATTGGTTCTGCATTACCAGTATCAATTTTATGAACAATCTTGTCTGTTCTGCCCAATTTGGAAGATGATAAAACTTGAAATTTATTTATTACTTTCTCTAACTGTAATAACTGATTACTTTGTAATTCTGACTTAGATTGAATACGATTTATTACATTTATCTCACCAATATTCGGATTTTCTACTGTAAGTCGATTCTGACCAATATAACAAGAATTACTATTAAAATCGAGAGTAACATTGAAGTTTCTACAGAAGTCTGACCCTAATATAAAGCTATGTGAAACAGAAGGTACAACCAAGATTTTCAGACGTTTCACTGTATTATCAATTTCAATTGGCAAGTTGACATAACCTGAAATTGTTTGAGCAGCTCCATCAGCTGTATTAATACTTGAGTCAGCTCAATCTAGAATTTGTAAACCAAAAACTTCCAACAAGTCCATACCAGGTCCTCCTATGACGCTATGGCTTGCCCCACTATCTACTAAACAAATAATCCGTTTGCCAAAAATATGTACAGCAACATAAGGTCTGTCATCATTTGCTTTATTTACAAAAACCGTATTTGTCTCTCTCGATTTCGAAGAATTACTATTTACAACTTCAGTTATGTACATTTGTCTAACAACATTCAACCATGATTTCCATTCATTGCTAGAAGGTGATTTCATTTTAGAAGCAACAAAAATTCTATTAGGATATGATCTGACATTTAATTGTGGAGTTTCAATACAACAACAATAGTAGGCCATTGAAGAATCATTGGGTGAGCACCGGCCTATCTTGCGCTTCCCCTTTGATCGTTTTTTGAACACAATGGACAATTAGGACGTATGACACCAGGCTTACCGCAACCAAAACAATAGGGTGCCTTGCGCCGATTATTCTCTCTGAAATTACGATTATCCGGCTGAACATTATTTTCCTGCATAACAGCAACCTGTCTATTAGTATTATTACTTGAAAATTTTCTCTGAGAATTATAATTGTTAGAATTTCTATGTCCATAACTTCTACTATTACCACGGTAATTATTATTAGAATATCTCTCATTCCTAATCTGAATACTAGAATCAACATTTGAGCAGATACTTGGATTATTATCAATATTACTAGAATTGCAACAACAGTGATGACCAGAATTTCCTGAGGAATAATAAGCTAAACCTGGTTCAAGTGTAGAAATATTTCGTTTAGGTGGAGGTTGATATCTGGCTTGAACTACGTTTGCATCCTCTAAAGCTCTACATATTTCCAAAAGTTGACTTATGTTGTCGATGGACTGCAATGCCAAGTGTGACTGATAACGAGGTAAAATATTCTTCCTGATGATTTTCAATTTTTCTTTCTCAGGTCAGGGACATCTATCAAGCAACTAAACAAATTCTCCATCAGAGATAAATAAACTACAATCTGTTCATCATGACCTTGAGTTCTATGGCGAATTTCTTCCCAAAGTTGATCATCATAATCTGATGGCAAAAAGTCTCGCTTAAGGGCGTCTACTAATGAATCCCAAGAGTTAAAACGATTTTGTCGAGACTGAGATCTGAACCATTCTCGCGCAATACCATCAAATAAATCTGAAGATGATTGAAACAAATCCTCTTTTGTACAATTCCGTGCAGTGCGTAACTCATCAACACGATGTAAAAAATGACCTAAGGGAACCATTCCTAAAAGTCCCATCAAAAGTAATACCCCATTTGTAAACTGGTACTGATCTACTAGCAACAGTGTTTACTGACAGTGCTTGAACCGAGTTGGGTTGGTTTACTATTTGTCCTTCCAAATACTGATCCCGAATTTCAGTTAAATCTTCCTCAAGAGTACTAACTAAGATAATATTATCTCTCCAAAAATTTACAACTTCAGCATGACTTGAATCCTTAGGTATCCTACATAATCGACCTAGTACATGATTTATTCGACTCTTCACCCGCTTGAAAATTTCTTCATTGATACCATCAAAATTGTTGACTAATTCAGCAATAGATTCTATACTTTCTGAGATTTCTGAACTTTCATCTTGGAAATCAAAATCTGGTGTCACATACTGGACATCAGGTCTAGCTAAATCTTGTCTCAACTCTCTTCTCAAAAATTTCCTCTTTTGATCAGTGTCTGCCCTGTCTACCGCAACACCCCGTATACGTAATTCGTGATTTAATTCTCTAGTCCTCAGATGATTTGGATCTATATTGTAATCAGCCTTCATCGTGAAGTTGAAAAATCTCTTCGAAATTTACAAAAATGTGCTGTCAAATCAGTCACCCAGGAGAACATCCTGTATGTAATCCAAGAGAAAAGGTACTAAATCTTGAAAGAGAATTTAGCAAAACTCAATGAAAAGGTATAACTGACAACACAGTAAATTAATCAATGTAGCTCACTTCGGAATACAACTCAGAATCACCCTGTACAATCAACACAGAAATTCTCAATAAATCACTTACCAAAAATTCATGAATTCAGGTACTTACTCAAAATACAAAACCTCCTCATGTAAATGGATTATCAACCAGCATAAATTATTTGGTTCACCCTGTATATATACTCACCAGTGACCAGAAAGTATTGCTCTCAAAAGATTATGCAAAAATGTTGAGGAATAAATATAATATATATTTTCAGTAATCTGAAATTATATCCAACTACGTTCACCCTGTATGAATGAAATCGAATCAGGCGTGAAAAAACCTGAAAACCTTGAATGGAATTCAATGAAGGAACTGCTGCTGATTTGTTTGGAAGGCGTTTGCAAATTAAAAGTAAATCTTTGCAAATAATATTATGCAGTAAACAAAAGGTTTAATTTTTGTTTTGTCCTAGGAATTTGGGAAGGTAAAGAGATTTGTTTGCTTTTGCCTGGGCTTTGAAAAACTCAATAGTATGAACAATTAATGCATAGTTGACATTTGCAAATTCAAAAATAGGCCCCACACGTTAAGGCGCCAATTGTATGTGGCGTAACTTCACAAAAAGAAATTAAAGCCTCAATGCACGGTGGCCTTTATAGTCGTAGAGCGGTCGTGGGATTTTGAAAGAATTATTTTCTATTTGTTTTTCTACAAGATGTTATCTGTAAAGCAAACTATGGGCGCCACTCAAAGTTAACTGAGAAGAATTAGGATAGGACAGAACAAAAATATCAAACTATACCTTTTGAAAACCATGCATATAATTACCTTAATGATGTTGTTAGAAGTGCTTACACGCAGTGTGTAATAAGTCAATGTTTACTACAATTAATGTTAATATAATGACTAATTGTAATAATTAAATTGAAATTCAATAGATTACTTAAAGTTACAATGTTAGTGAAATTGTATCAATGAATAGGGGAGTATTTCAACTGTATTCTAGGCAATGACAAAAAATGTAATGTTAGTGAAATTAAATCTATGACAGCCTCACTGTGGCTAGCAAGTGATAATAATAAGTCACCAGGTGACTGAGAATAATAAATGTAAACAAAATACCTAGGTTTCCTACGAAAGGAAATAGCAGCTGTTATTTCGTTTCTCACAAATAGGAGAACACTTATTACAAGGAAAACAAAGTAAGACACTAGTGAAGATCTATGTCTGCAACTCCTCAATGGCAATCAAAAATTACATCACAAGTAGTACTCACTGAGGGTCATCAATTATTATACTCTTACTCAAAATTAACCATTAATTGTATGGGTGGCTTCCTCATACTCCATAAATTGCATCAGCAAATGGTATCCATCTCATTCATATACATGGTATCCAAACATAAACAAAACAGGCAACAAACTCCAACAGCTGACGAACACTTGTTATTTTTTTATTTTTTTATTATTGCTTGGAGCGCACGAGAGGGAATCCCTATAATGTTCAAAGAACATCGTGCGTTCCTAGGGAGGATAGGGATAGGAGGTAGGTATTGGAATTCTCTTTGAACTTCTGGAGATTATATGTTGTTGGGAACACTTCCACAGGCAATGAATTCCAGAGCCTAGCCGTTCTATGGATGAAGGAGTTTTGATAAAGTGCTGTTCGGCATCTTTCGAGGTTGACAACGAAGGGATGTGCTGACTGGGCTTGTCTAGTTCGTCTGACTGGTATTGCTAGTGAAGGGATGATAGCAGAGATTTCCGAAGAACATTTCCCGTGGAAGTATCGATAGAAAAGTGAAAGGTCGCCGACCTTTCTACGGTGTTCCAATGATGTCAAAGAGCGAGTGAGTGTGGCGTCACCCACCAAGCGGATGGCTCTTCTCTGGATGGAATCTAAGAGCATCAGCGTATGTTTCGGTGCTGAACCCCATATGTGGGAACAGTATTCTAGAACAGGCCGTATCTGCGCTTTGTAGATCATGAGGAGCTGTTGAGGTGTGAAGTAGCATTTCGCACGAAACAAGAATCCGAGTATTGTGAAGCAGCTTTTGCGATGGATCTGACATGATTATCCCATGAAAGAGTGTTGCTGATGGAAATACCGAGCATAGATATGGTGGGTTTGGTGGGGATGGTGGTGCCAGACATTACAATGTCGGGCATACTGAGTTCCGCCTTTCTAGAGAAAATACAGGCTTGAGTTTTGGTGGCGTTGAATTCAACTAGGTTGTTGGTTCCCCAGGCTGTGATTTCAGCAAGGTCTTCATTGACAGCATTGACCTGCCTGCGCCGTGTGTTCTTAGTTTCCTGGGAAGAAATAGGAATTCTGGAAGAGAACGCTGTATGGAGGGTAC